ACTTGTTTCCTCTGCATATACTGGATTTTTGGGATCCAGTCTGTTTGGATACTCACCTTCCCAGACCTGGAGGGAGGGGGGAGGAACTTGAACTTCCCACAGGGCAGGAAACCCTGACTGCCCTAAGGGACCCGAAGAGGGAGGAGGAGAGGGAGTGGGGGGAGTGGGAGGGTGTTGGGAAGAGGGGCGGAAATGGAAACTTTTATAATTTAATAAAATTACTTTCAAAAAAAGAGAAGATATCGTGAATAATATATTTTCCTAAATGTGGAAATGTTGAGGTTAATATGGCATTTTAAAAATTTCTCTGATCAACAGTTACAGTATTGGTTTTATCTAAGTATGTATTGAGGCTTGTTGTATACAAAGAATTGCACCTTCTAATCTGAGATTTCAGTTATCATGTTCCTAATAGGTCATAACTTTACCTTCCTCATTACCTTTGTCTATGAGCACTTTAATATTCCAGATTAAAATTACATTCATTTTAAAAGATCATAAAACACAAAGCACAATGAACTGAGGTTTATGGTCCAAAAGTCTAAATTATATACTCATTGTTGTTTTAAAGAAAAACTCAACTTCCAATAATGAGATACTGCTAAAATGAAAATAAGAATCTCAAAAGATAGGGAAAATTGGGCTTCAACTGCTAAAACACAGAGGAACACCTACCATATTCCAGAATAAGCACACTGAATAATTACACTGATAAATATGCTCAAAAGGTGGGTTACGAACATCCTCCTCACAGGTAGAAGCATCTTCCTGCTTTTTTAGGGACAGTTGCCATTTCATTCCAAGCTCACTTGCTACAATCAATGGGTCTCTTTTCTAAAGAACATCTTGCCCTCTTAATTTGACTAGGTCCCTTATCCTGAAACTGCCACTTTGGGATCAGAGATTTTAGGTTATATTCTGGGGGACCCACATTTTCAGACCAAAGTAGCACAGGTGAGACTGCTTCTCCTGTTGTGGGAGAATTGTCTGTAATCTGTCAATCATGTTTTAAATAAATGCTGATTGGTCAGGCAGGAAGTATTGGCAGGAAAACCAGACAGGAAGTAGAAGTGATGCAATGAGAACAGGAGAATTCTGGGAAGGAGGAAGTTGATTCCTCCACTCCTACCCAGATCACCGAAGCAGCAGGGTGTGATCTGCCCCACTGAAAAAGGTACTGAGCCACATGGCTAACATAGATCAAAACAATGGGTTAATATAAGCTATAAGAGCTAGTAAGTAGCCTGAGCAAATGGGCCAATCAGCTTTATAACTTATAGAGATCTCAGTGTAATTTTCTTTGGGGCTTGCCAGTTGTGGGGTACCAGATGGGACAGAAAACTCCAACTAGCTGGTCCCCTCTTGTTATATTCTCCCTTTATCACATGTCAAGTGAGCTGTTTCTAAGTGTTTCTAGAAGCATCTCAAATACAGAAATTGATTTTGCAACCCTCCAAAGATATTCTTTCCACTTTAGTACCATGACAGTTCAGCCACTCGAGAAGCAAAACTGAAATCTAATACTTCCTTTTAAATCTAAGAGTCATTTATATAAAAGTTTTGGGATTCAGAATGTTCTGACTGATCAATTATCATGGTACAACCAGATAATGAAGAACCTTATATCTCTAACAGAGGCAAGCAGAAACATCAAAATAAAACTAGAGTCATCAGTATACACACCTGTGTCTAGAAAGGTCAAGCACATGTCTGGATCTAAGAATAACTTCCTCCATTGGTTCACATTGTGGTTGAAATCCAGATCCTGAGTATCCATCTTGTCTTAGTATATCTCTATGGTGGAACTGAGAGCAATTACAGGTTCTACTCATAATTTTATAGCAGAAAAGTAATGTCCTCTGACTCTCTCACAGAAAAAAAAAATGAGTCATGGGAGTTTATATCATGAACTACGATCTGAGTAAGCAAACTTGGTTTAAAAGTTTGTTCTTACAGTTGGTGATGCAGAACTGGCTTTTGTTTTGCCGTCAGCACTAGCAGAAAAAAAAAACCCACCCAATAGAAGAATTGTGCGGAGAGTGACGAGTTTAGGATCATACTGTCTTTGTTTTTTGTTTTTGAGAGAAAGAAAGAGAGAAATAACATGAAGTTGGGCAAGTGGGGAGAGAGTTCTGGAGGCCCCGAGAGTATTTGGGGGAAGGCCAAGAGTATGATCAAAATATATTTATGAAATAAGATTAAATATATTTACTTATGTATTTCTACCTTACTAGATAAAATTACCAAAATGTCTTCTATAATTTCATTATAATTATTATCTCCTCCTAAAAGTCATAGAGAATGGTATTAATGTAAATATGAGACTTTAACTGAATTTGGAAGAGAATCAGGCGTATCTCCCTGAGATTCATGCCAAGCTTTGTATTGCTGGTCCTTCCCAGGAACAAAAAAAGGGGCAAGTTCAACTCTTTAAGTGGTCAATAAGGCACAGTGAGATTAAGTGACTTCCACCAGGAGGCTTCTGATTTATTTTTCCATGTGCCGTTTGATTGCAGTCATCTTGGGACCCATGTATAAGATGCTTCATAATATGTTTTACCACACAGAGCCACATTAGCTCTGCAGTCAGACCTGCTTCTTTTGAACATGATTCCTTATAACAATCAAAATAATCCAAACAGCTGCAGTTTTAAGGTAGGAAAGAACAGCAGCCTGATATCTCTGCTCCAAGTCTGAAGTGCCAAGTTTCCAGACATGAAGCCCGTGACAAACTGCTCGGTCACATTTACCTCTCATTCTTTCCAGAACGTCAATAACTTGCTCTTGTCGTCTTTAAAGTGCTGCTCAAACACGAAATAATCTCAGATTACACACGCTGATCTTTGAATTTATCTTGACCAGCTGTCGAGGGCAGTTTCATGTCTACTCCATTTTCTGCCTCTTGGCTTTGTGTAACTTCTGTAGCAAATTTGAATAGAAAATGAAAAGTCCAGTTTAGTGTGCTTTCTGACAAAGGGGAGTGACTTGTTTTTGGCCAGATAACCTTCTGATGACTGTCCGATGGTTGTTTTCTAGGTGGACACTTGGCATGTATTTCCGCAACACTTTGAGCTTTGTTTAATTTTTATATGCAAAGTTTGACAGTGTGGATGTGAAAAATTAAAAAGGATAATGAAATTAGTAGTGTTCACTTATCATTTTCATCTGTTTGAAAATTCTACCATAGCTTTATTATCAGGATTGTAAAGTGAATTGAAGCTCAGAACTTCTACTAATCCTTTAAAAACCGTGAAAAATTCTTATGTCCTATGTGAAACTTGCGTTGCTTCTTAGACTTGTATTTTCTCCTTTGTTCTTGATTAAAAAGGAAAATTTATGTTCTATTTAAAATTTTCTACATTTTAAACATGTGATGAAGCTTCTAGAAATTTGAGCCAAATCTCTTTAAACTTACACACGCATTGGGAAGACGCCAAGCAGGTTGCTGCAGCATTGTCTGCGGCTTCTCTTCCCTCACTCCCTGACTTGCTCAAGTGCGGCTGAAGTGCAGAAGCAGTTCTGTAGGAGTCATAGAAAGCTTTCCAGAGGTTAAAATACTGGAGATTAGCAACATATCAACTTTCAGGTAGGCTACTCCTCAACACTCATAATTCATTTACTCTCCTGAAAATCATTATTCTGAAGGTTTGATTCACTTGTGGCCTCACTTGGGTCTTAAATCTCATTTCAAAGCACTCCAATCATTCATCCATTTCAGAACTACCATTAGGAGTGATGGGAATTTGGCACAAAAATCAATGAGAGGATATGATGTGAATTCTTTCAAATTTTTTCTTCTTTGAGTACACTTCAAATACAGCGTATGAAATCTGTTTTTAAAGGTAGTAGTCCATCTTGCTATCATTTTCACTAAATTGAGTTCATGAACTTGAAGCATGTATCTCCATAGTTTCCCTTTTTTGAAAGGAAGTCTGGCAATATGATTGCTAATATATATCAAAAGCCATTTTTAAAATCTTATTTAAATCATCTCACCAGGGTGCCCTTGATTAACATTTTAACCTTTTGAAAATCTAAGATGTTATTGACCATTTTATCATAAAAAATTCCTTACTCCTTGTGCAATTGTTCCAATTTGAACAATATACTGATATGCATTTTTGATCATACTTTGGTCATATTTTTGACCAATACTTAAAGAATATTTTATGAACTAAAATTGTACCATAATCATCACTGCGTGCACATCTGTTTTAAGAGCCCATACTTTATTTTCTAGTTTAAAGAATTTATTATACTGAAGTATTTGTACACTTATTCTATATTGCTTAGCTAAAAGCAAATGAAAGTATGATTATAACTTCTTACAAACAAATAACCATATTTACACAATTAAATTTATCTAGAGAAAATTAGAAAATAATAACATTTTAACATTGAATGGTGTGATTTAAAATGATAATTTGACTTTTTGTTTATAACCTTGCTATCATATATTTTGTAAATTGTGATGTGAGTTATAAATTCGTAAAATCAAGTTAATTATTATTCTAAGATCTCCCAACATTACTTTTAGTTCTGTGTACTTACCAGAAATATAGTGATGTCAGTGAGAACAAGTTAGGCAATTAAGCAGGATATCAGTAAAAATTTCATCCACTTGAACTACTTTATCGCTACTTTTTATTCTCTCCTTAAAAGGACTTTTTTTTTCACTTGCTTTCTGAACTTCAAGAGAATTCAAATCAAAGGTCATCGTAATAAAAGGCATCTTAGCTCTCAAACTCACAGTTGCTTCTAATAGTGAGATTGGAAAATGGCACTGGAGATGAAGACTGCTCATCACTCAAGCCCCTGGGTTCAGGATAAAATGCTGAGAATGGGGTACTGTGATAATGGGCTGTGGATCATTATCTTGCATTATGCAATATGTTCTTCTATAGAAAATAGCATCAAGAATTCAATAGTCTGTGTTATTTGCTTTCTTACATTTGAAGTTGATTTGTGAATTGTATTTTATTTTCTGGGTGTGTGACTAGGAAATGCATCTACAACCACAACTGTGATAGACAACAAAAATGGGTCTGTGCCCAAGTCCCCTGGAAAGGTGCTGAAGAGGACTGTCACCGAAGACATCGTGACCACCTTCAGCTCCCCTGCAGCCTGGCTTCTGGTCATCGCTCTGATAATCACATGGTCAGCTGTGGCAATTGTTATGTTTGACTTAGTGGATTACAAAAACTTTTCAGGTAAGAAGCATTGCATTTGGACTTTAAATCAAAGGAAAAATGTTCTTCTAATGTGTGGCATCGTTTCTCTCCAGCTCAATGTAGTGTGAAAAATTAAACACACACTGATGAGCTGGGCATCATTGGAATCAGTTTTTTTCTACTCCCTTTCTTGGTCTATTTTGTTCACTGATTTGAAAATGCAATCAATGTCCTCATCTTTAAAGCTTCTTCAAGGCTAAATGCTGCAACTTCATAAAAAACGATGATTAAAAAGCCCGGTAAAGATTTGTCTTTGAAGCTGAATTAATCAACTATTAAGGAAGAATAACTTAGGGGTTTAACACTTGACTAAATAAAGACTACGTTAAATAACTTTGGATTAGCAAGATCTTTTGAAATATTTCTAAGGCTCACTGACACGTGCTCTCAAGTTTCTTTTCAGACATACTCTGCTCCTCCTACTAAGCTGCCTATTTTCAGTCTCTGAAAGTGAAGAATGTAAAGAGGATTTTATCAGAGTTGCCCATAATGAGTAACTACATCTTCACTGTCCATATGTCCCTTATGTGTTTGGAGCACAGCAGGAATAATGCAAGTGATAAGAGATAGATTTTTATTGTGGGCATTCAGTCTTATGATTCATTGTTCATCTCTTTGTTCATACGTATCTTATATTTTGAAATTGTATATACCCACCTCCACATCTGACACTGATCTTAAATTCTCTGTTGATTCTTATTTCCTGGTAGAGAGAAATTATTTTTGTACTCAGCATATTTTCCATGAATAGGTGAACGTATTTATGTCCATTACTGTTTACCACTAGGGAAAATATTTCATGATCATCTCAATGTGTTCTTCATACATAGTCTCTTCTCCCTACTTTCTTTTTGATTCCATTGGCAGTAGGGTCTTTAGCGTCTGGACACAGACAACTGGAGTCATTGTGATTATGATTTCTCTCCTCATGAAATTTTAGTCACTCAATAATTACTGACCAAGAGCCTACTATTTGTACCTGACAACTGATATGCTAGAAGAGACAAAACTGTAATATAACTATCATAACATCATAGATGTCTATTATTTCAGCTTATGGAAGCAGAGGCATTACTGACATGATTTCTGCCAGGTATATCTATGGTAGTTGGACTATGTTTGGCATTATTTACCAGAGATATAAAACCGAAGTACTAGCCAAACAGAGCCATAGGTTTCTGCTCTAATAGGTAATGCATTTACTATATTCCTTCATATATTTTTAAAGAAAATAAAGTTGCATTCTCTGTAATTTAAAATGACAGATTTTAAGTGAAAAGTATTTCATTATAATACTACAGAAAACTAAATTTCACTAAGTCTAAATGGACTGTAGTATTTCATATATCTTTTTCATTCAAACATAATTTCATTTACTTTAACATCAAAACCAAATATGACCATAAAATATACATAACTCATTTTATAGCATATATTTAAGAGCTCTAGGTCAATCTAATATCTGTAAGTTAATTTCATATGTAGACACAGAAATTTATTCTATAAAATACAAAGCTCCCTTCAATTAAGTTTTCAGACTAGATAATATAAGTATTGGATATCTTTTTCATGGAGATACAGTCATCTAGGGCTATGAATGGTTACCTGTTATATGCTTCCTTTTCTGATGGTTAGTGAATGCTTCAGTAAGTCTTCAATATGAAGCCTAGCTGCTCTATGAGGTTTCTTCCTTATGACGCCTACATTTGTTAATGATAAAACCAGCCATTCCCACAAGAAAACCCTGAGAATCCTTCACAGACTATGCTTTCTCTGTAAACACAAATGACTTTTAAATCTGAGCTTTCTTATCAGTGACACCTTATCTATTATTATACTTCACACTTCTATTTTCAGAGAATTTATGAAATTTTATACCATCCTCATCAGTCCCTACCCATTTGTAAATCCTAAAGACATCTTTATTATGTGAACATCTGAAAAAGTCATGTTTTTACTGTTGCCTAAGCACAGCAAAGACCTTGTAAGAAATTCAAGCCCTTATCTTAGCTCTTCATTTTTATCTTGTAATTTAGTTCACGTATCCAATTTCTCAACTGTATTTATTTCTTACCTGCTCATCCCAGGCAAACACAAACTTTTCTTTCTTGCTGTCCATGTACAATGAAGTGTTCCCAGCTCCAGACTCTGGTAGAGCTAGCATGATGATTAATAGTTAAGAATGGGGATTTTGGTGCCTAATTTATTTGCTTGCTTAGATCATGCTTCTTGATAACTCTTTGATAATGGGGATAGATAACCACCCTTGACCTCAGTTTTTACATCTACAAAATGGGGATTGTGAAAATATCTTAATTATAGGGTTATATGAAATAGTTCTTCTAAAAAAGCTGGAAAGATCCCATTTGTCATAAATACCCTATTCTGTGAGTGAAGATTTTTTTTCACTTTTATCTTGAGAAGGTTTATTCATGCTTTATGACATATTCCTTCTTTTATAATGCATCCTGTAATGTTATAAGAATAGCACACTATATCATATTTCTTTTTTTTCTAGTAATTTGTGGATCTATTTATCTAGATGAATTAATACAATGTACTTGAAATATCAGTTGACTTGACTGTATTAGCCAGAAACCTAAACTTTTTCCAGGAAAAGATTGTTTTGTTTCTGTGTGAATGTCAGACACATAGGAGGTCTTTTGAGGCATATTACTTAAGGAAATATATAATTCTGATATTTTGAGATTGAAACTACATTTTACATAGGAAATTATGCATATATAATTTTCTTTCATTTAATTTAAACTTTGTTGAGCTTGACCTTGGGGATTAGGGAATTAACAAAGTTAGAGAATTCTACTGCCTTTTTAAAAAAACAGTTGTTCATGAGAAACAAATTGCTTCAAAAGTAAAAGACTTAAAGTCACACTAATTTACTGTCTGTGGGTCAGAAATTTGGAAGTGGTTTATATAGGTGACTGTGCCCTAAGTTCTATCCTGAGACTGCAGTAAAAATATTGGCAGAGAAGGCACCTGATGAAAGATTGATGTGAATGGAGCTATTTGCAATATGCCTCCCTCATCAGACTGTTGGCACTGGTGTCTCCACATCAAGGTAAATGGTGCCACCGAGACAGCAAAGAGCAGAGCAGGAGTCACAGACTGCTCATGTTCTAGTTTTAGAAATATGATTTTTCATTTCTGCAAAATTCTTTTAGTTTCATAGGATGACTCTACTGTGTGTTTTGCCCTAGGTCTCTGGACTGTCCACCCTCTGGGACCTGGCCCCCCAGTCAGTATCAGGGATGTGCTCCCTCTCATGGCATGGGTCTTAGGTTGGACCAGTCAGTCATTGGTTGGTCACGCCCACATTTTCTATCTTACTCTTATCCCAGCACATCTTGCAGACAGGACAAATTATAGGCCAAATGTTATGTGGGTTGCTGGGTTTCTGTCCCAGTTCCTCCACTGGAAGTCTTGCCTGGTTCTAAGATATGGGCAGTTCAGGCCACATATCCCCTATTTCTGGAAGTCTTTTCTGTGTTCACTGTAATAGATTCCTGGGAGTTTCCATTATACTAGGTTTCTACCTCTTCCAGAAATGCTCCCCCTCATTTCAGGTGTTTCTCCCTCCTTTCTCTATCTGATCCCTCCTGTTACCCTTCCCACATTTCCCTACTCCACCAACAATATCTATTCTATTTCACTTTCCTAGGGAGTTCCCAGGGCCTACCTTGTTACTTAGCCTCTCTGGATCTGAGGATTGTAGCATAGTTGTCCTTTACTTTATAGCTAATAGCCACTTATAAGTGAGTACATACCACGTTGGTCTTTCTGTTCAATCCATTTACCTGCAAATTTCATTATGCCATTTTTTTAGACAGCTGAGAAATACTACATTGTGTAAATGTATAACATTTTTATTGTCCTTTCTTTGGGTGAGGGATATCTGTTGTAAAAGGAGCAGGCTGCATCCTGCCACCCAGCTAGCTTAAACCCCCGAAATAACCACATAGATATTGTATTAATTAAAACACTGCCTGGCCCATTAGCTCTAGCCTCTTATTGGCTAACGCTCACATCTTGATCTAACCCATTTCTAATAATCTGTGTAGCCCCACGAGGTCGTGGCTTACCCGGAAAGATTCTAACCTATGTTCATCTCGGGCCAGAACTTCATGGCGTCTGCCACACTGCCTTTTTTGCAACATTCTCTTCTGTCTACTCCACCCACCTAAGGGTTGTCCTATCAAAAGGCCAAAGCAGTTTCTTTATTCAACCAATGAAAGCAAAATAAATACAGAAAAATCTCCTACACCAGCTATCTAGGTTGTTTCCAGGTTCTGGATATTACAAATAGTATTGCTATGAACATAGTTGAACTAGTGTCCTTGTGGTGTGATTGAGCATCCTTTGGGTATATGCCCAAGAGTCGTATAGCTGGGTCTTGGGGTAGATTGATTTCTAATTTTCTGAAAAACTCCCATAATGATTTCCAAAGTGGCTGTACATGTTTGCACTCCCATCATAAATGGAGAAGTGTTTTCTTTGCTCCACATTTTCTCCAGAATTCCATCTTATACTTTTCAGAATGGCTAAGATCATTCAGCCAGTTCTTAAGAGTTTTTTTTAATGATTCATCACAAGAAAAAAATTTAATTCAATAAGATATTTAAAGAATAAAAACTACTTTATTGTTCCAATACTGCTTTTAATTGATATAATTTAAACTGTATAAGTAAGTAGTATGTATGTATCCATGATGAGTCTTTTGTACAATCCCAATAAACTTTGAATATGTAATTATTAATATATTCTGAACATAACTAGCAGCAGAAGGAAGAATATTGCTGTTTATATTGAAGGCTAAATGGCTGTCACTGTGTCAAGTTACTCTCTCGGGACTTTTAAGTATTGATAAATACTGTGAAACTGTTAGAGTGGGTTCAAAGAGAAAGGAAAATTTATTTCTATTAAATACATATTGTGCTGACTTAAGGGGAAGAATTTTCAAT